CCGGCCGTAGCATGGGAGTGTATGTAACCCCCCCATGTTGCTGCCTGTATGTTTTTCCTGCTGATTGTTGACTAATGGAGACTCACTGTGTGTAGCCTGAGCGATGAGGAGTTGAATGAAGGGCCGCGGGCCCCAACGCCACCCCCACGCCGTACCTCCACTCACTCCTGGGGCCTGGGATGCATCGGCCGGCAGGACGCCCACTCTCGTAGCTTCAGCAACATCGCAGATGGGCTGCGGCTAGCCCATGCTCAAGCCCTGGCTGTGGCTGGCATCGTGCATCAGTCTTCTACTGGTTCAGCACCATTCAGACGAGGTCTGCGAGCCTCGTTCCACGGCCGAGGTACCCCGCGCACCCTGTACTACAGGGGGCATCATCTGTCTTGCCCCACCACCCCTGCCACTGCCCGCAGGGGGCACCACCCCAGACCTCCCTGTGGTGGTCTCCTGGCTCTCCCTGCCCCCCCTAGCCAGGTGGCACAATCCTGTACAGGGCGCGAAGACCCCTCCGGGCAGCTGCTGTCAGTGCGGGCACTGCTGCAGCACATGGCGTCTCTACGCCCCTGTGTTACCCTTCCTTATGTATCCACCAGAGTCCTTCCCCGCACCCCTCCACGCAGACCCCATGTTCCTCTTCATCGATCCCTTGAAAATTTCAATACCTCCAGCTCTGAGTCAGACTCAGAGCTGGACACTCCTCACACCCTTGCCTCTTTGCACCTCGAGGATCATTCTGAGGTTTCCTCAAGTGTATCTGAGGTAGTAGCCTCTACTCAGAGTCTCCCTGGGTCCTCTCACCACCACCTGTCTTCCCATCACTCCCAAAATTACCACACCCACCACCACCAGAAGCAGACACATCGTCACCTGCCACAAATACCGCACCCGCACAAAAGTCATAACCACTGTTGTCAAAATCAGCAGTTCTATAATTATCATCGCCTTTTGTCAGAAGATTCAGATCATAACCACCATCACCATCATCATCAGCTACCACAGCCACCACACCATCAACAACCCTCACAGAGTCCACCACAATCCCCTTGCAACCTAAGCCAAAACCACAATCCAGACCTCCGCCTCCACCATCTCCACTATGTTCTTCCATCATCAGTGTCAACTCTTAAGCTGTCTTCGCCTTCTGCTGGTGTATTTGCTGGTGCCTTAGACTGGGACGTGTGCTGTGGTTCTGTGGGGGTGTCCGGACTCCCCCAACCCCGTAATGGCTGTGCCCCCTCCACTCCCCTCCTGTCTCTCTCTCTTAGGTAACTCTCTTCTCTGTCACTATCCTCTGGGTACTTGTGCCTTTGTCGTTACTCCATAAGGGTTTCCAGATACTGGAAGTGGTCCCCCAGTATAGGTACTGATGTGGGTTTCCCCTAATATTGAGATTGTATGGTGCTCCTCATTACGATCACAGCAGGGTATCTTCTTACTATCAGTACTGTTTTTGTGTGTAGCTAACATCTGTAATACAAACATAGGTCTGGACAGAAACACAAGGCACAAGTTCACACCACCTAACTGCATGCTCAGTAGACACAAGAAGTTCACTGCAAACATTTGTTTTTCTTCTCCACAATTTTTTTCCTTTTTACTCTGAAATGGATTTTTCAGCACCTTTCAAGATTTCAAATACTCATGATTGCAGTGCAACTACTGCTAAAATAATTTTCTGAGAAGGAAACAAGGATTCACTTCCATCTCCTTCCCAATCATACTGATAAGAATCTTCCAGCTGCTCTGCTGTGGTCTGTCATCTACCAGTTTCACCCATTGTTGTTGGCTTGGTTTTTGTGCTTTTACTGTCACCAAATCTCTTCACTATCATTAGGTTGAAGTTTCATATGTTGTATATAAGAATATGAAAAAAGGTAAAGAGAAGTCATCTTAATATCAGTAATCCAGCATTTTTGAGAACATGACATCAAACATATGAATCAGTTTAGTAAGCCTTGGTAATTCTGAGCTGATAAGTGCACCACTTCAGTAAATAGATCAGTTGTTATATAATAAAAACAAAGGAGCATCAGTTATGAAATTACTTTAGAGTACATTTTGTGAATAACTATGAGTGATTTGAATGGTCAGAACTGATGACTCCTAACGTAAATAACATTGTAGTGAAAGGTAAATGTACTTAATTAATAAGATTAAAAACAGTTCCTTAAAAGTACATACAGCACCCCTTTTACTAATCATGAATAATATTTCCACTGTTGTGTGTATGTATATATATTAAAGAAATAGATATCAATAACTGTTTTCTTTTTCTCCAGCGACCTCTCACAGTGAGAGCAATGGGAGCCTCCCCGGTGACCGCCACTCCCAGAGTGTCCCAAGCAGTCCCAGAAGTGTCTCTAGGCCTTATTCTGAGGTCGTAGGCTCTGCTGAAAGTCTGGTTGGGAGGGTAAGCATTTTTATTTTATTTTTTAATTTTTTTATTTTTTTTCATCTTTTGGTAATGATAAATCTCTCCAAGTAAGTATGAGATATTTTG